TATATATATAGATATATGGGTCCTCTACTTCCCATTGTTCTCCTTTGGTCATCTTTTTCTGATGCTATTTTTGAAACACAAGTTTTTAGGTCGTTGTCACACAGACAAACACGGAGCCAACTTTTAGAATTTTGAAGCAGTTTTTTTTCCCCTTGTGATAATCTACTTGATTCTGCCAGTGGATGTGTCAAAAGGTTAACAACAAAGTATTGTGTTTTAGTTGAGATGATCAGTGTTACTCACTTCACTTGTCAGTAGTTTTCACTCTGTAGATGTGCAGCGATGAGTGGAAAATTCAAGCATCTGTGATGTCAGCTACTCATCAAAATCCTTTAAGCAGAACGTGTCAAAATGTCAGTTGTGCACAAAATAAAAGTATGAAATAAAACAGCCTAAACATAATCATGCAAATAAATAAACAGTTTGACAGTTTCACAATACTTCAGCTGATGCCATCTAAAGACTTTTCTTCTTGATGCTCATCTGGTGGTCCATAGGGTGTGAAAGTGTAGCGTAAAGCCAGTGTGTGAAGCTTTTGTTTAGATTTTAAATTCCAGATATTAGTGAGACTGAGCTCATAAAAGTCACAACTGAATTTGTATCTATTTAGCACAGAACAAATATTTCAAACCAGTATGTGAGTTGATGTATTGCACATAGTTTTGTGCAAATTGTCCTGTCAACAGCATGTATTTGTGTAACTCATTCTCTATATATTTTACTCACAGACTCTAATGCTATCACCTGTAGCTATGATAAATGTGTTATAATTAAGTGTAAAAATGTCAAACATTGCAATTAAGGTCCTTTACACAGAACACAAGTGATTGCAAGGGATTTGAGTGTCTCAGGGAGAATTTAAAATGTACAACAGAGTACACAGAATACAAATGATGCAGATGATTTCCACCAGTTCTGTTTTTGCAGCTAAAGTGAATTTTCCACAACATATTAACGTCAGGAACAAGTATGATAAACAACCTCCTTGTCATCTTTAAAAATCTCCATCCTGACGCGAAGCTTAAAGATGCACTTTAGTGGCTGTTTTTCAATGACACATTAACATTCATTATGATAATTTGTTTAGTCTATTTCTATATTCTTCCTCAGTGATGTGATTGTAAAACACTTTAAATGAACCAGAGGGTTGTGGCTCAGGGAAGAGCAAGACTGCAATTTCAAAAATACACTAAACTTAGATTAGAGGCTAAAGAGCTGTCAAATAAACAAACAAAAAAAATAAGTAAATTATCACCTTAAACAAGGCATTTACTGCTTATACACATATGTAATTAATTGTCAAAGATTCCCAATAATCGCTCAAAATCAGCAGGGAAAAGAGATGAAAAACTGGGATGCTTTTTGTCCAACACCCCAGCTTTATTTACAGTGCTACATTTTGAATTCTCAACACACAAATCCTGCAAAGGCATGAGCCAACATCAAGCGCGAGCAACACATGAGACACATGCATGTGTGCACATGATTGATTTCAACTTCCACTGTGCACGCACATAAATGCACTCAGGAAAATTACACTGACACGCTGTAGTACCACTGTTGCTCTGTCTGCCAGTTTGCTTGTACTTTTTCTTGATTTTATGGGTTGTGAATTCCAGCTCAGTCGGTTCATTCGCATAAAAATAAAAAATAAAAAATAAAAAATAAAAAAAACACTGTGCTGACAGCCTAGTGTGAGCAAGCTGGTAGGGGGTTGCTGTCCTGGTGATCGGATAAAAACAGAAAACGGAGACAAACTGAGGCAAGAGTAAAAGGATGAGTACAAGTGGGCAGAAAAAAMCCCAACAACAACACAGATAAGGATGACGGAGGTATAAGTGTGTATTACACAATAGCTGTGTTTCCACTGACCATGAAAATGCACAAATTAGAATTTAGAAAATAAATTTGCTCAATGGAAACACATAAATTTAGATAAAAATTATGTTTTTTGACAAAAAAAATACGCTAGGATGAGGTGGTATTTCAGCCATATCAAAATTGGTGTTTTTCGCAAAACTGCAATGGAAACACATTTTTCGCATCACGGGAGTCACGTGATCAACAACCGGCTGTTTCTACTGGTGAAAAAGACGATGACAAAGAAGATAACAGGAAGTAGAAATAGTATTAATATCACAGAAGTAGTATAAAATAGTAAACTCACCGACTACAATTTCCCAAAAACACAGCATAGCCGCTCCAAAGGGACTTGTTGCTGGAAAGCCTCAATAAAAGACACCAACGTCTCCTCTGATGATGAGCGCTAGTGTCGCGGTAGCAATATGCTATGTGTTTACATCCATTGCCGCCATGTTTGTAATGACTTATCATGGGAACAAACATATTCACGCGTGACTTTAATAGCATTTCTTACTTAATGGAAACACTGCAGTTGCGAAACTGTGTTTTTTAAAAATTAACAGAATATCGACAAAGTTTTGCGCACATTTGCAGTAGAAACACAGCTAATGTGTATGACAGTGTGAGAACTTTTAATATTAAAAATGTATAAATGACATTATTTATAGAAGACATTCTATAAATGAGTAGAGCCGACATGCAGTCACATGCACACATACACTGTTGCGTCCAATCTTGGCATCTCTTTGCTCCTTAATGAAGTAGTAAGTCCCTCTGCTCTGCCTCATAGGCCTGCCAATTAGGACACAGGCCATTGGGTATTGACAAATCAAGATCTCGGCTTCAAGTTTAATGGGCTTGACTTTAATATAGCCAATAAATTGGCACAGAGAGACTGTGCATGTGCTTCTGTGACTGTAAAGAATCATGAAGTGGCCATGAGAGGCAACAATGTTACATCCACTAAGTTGACAAAAGTTTGAGGAGCGAAAGGAAAGAAATGGAGGAAAAATAATTGAGGAGACAAAAAGAGGAGGAACTAGGTAAAAAAACAGCTATAAATAAAAGCAAGGTTGTGAAGTGAGACGTTAAAAAAGTGTAAGCTGAGATGAAAGGGGGGATGAACTTTGAATGGCAATGGGAGAAAAGGAAAAGATATAGCTGAGTTATGTGAAATTCCTCAGTCTAATCACGAGTGAGCAGCATGGGAAGCCATATCGCCTTTGAAATATTTAATCAACAATTTTTAAATGAGGATATTTGGCTGCTGTATGTGAGCAATGCCCCCCTTTATCCCATGAGACTGATTATAATTTTTTTCTTTTCAGAACCTGTTATCTGTACTCTGATGGATCCTTGTGCTTGTACTACAGAACCTAACAAGCTCTGACGTGAAAAAAGTTTTGCTTCTACACAGACAAATCCAATTATTGTCCAGCTATTTGCTGTTCTCCTGAACATGAATACAAAAAAAATGTGAGTAGCAGCTTTTGTATGGCCTAAAACTAAATGATTTGCTGCATTTTGTTACTTGATGCACGTTTCTTTAGTGTATTTATATTTTTCAATGACATCTTTCACATTTGGAATGGCTTTACCAATTATTTTGTGGGCAGCAAGATGCCTTGAGTCTACCTTAAGCTTTCCAATTTGATATATAATGTTGATAATGTTATTTCCTGTGGTTTGTTTTTGTTTTGTTTTTTAACAAATGCTCTTATTATTTGAATAGTCTGTACAATATATTAACATTTTTGTGTTAAAAAAACAGGATTCTATTGATGCATATCTTTATCTGGTGTGTGCTATCATTTTGACATTTTCAAAGACAAAAGTGTGGTGTAACGTTTATAAATACCAAGCAGTGAAATCCTTCCAAAAGAAAAAAAAAGACTGAAAGGTCACATTCTACAAAAGTAAGACCTATAATCAAGTTTGCCTCAACATAACTGAAAGATTAGTCAGGAAAGTAGAGACTGCTTTGGTCAAAGTGTGGGATTTGTCATTGTTATTAGTGTCAGAGGATTTAGCTTTGCACATAGTCATCAAAGTGGCACATGCTAAAAAAAACAGAAAACGCTTAAGTTCTGGTTTGAAATCTGTAACCTTGCTGAACAAAGATGAGAGGATTTTTGTCACACTGTCACTATGAACACGAGAGGAAGCTCATAAATGTGTCATTCACTGTTATTCAGTATTAAATGCTGCATTGTACTTTTTAGATGCTAGTGCTGAATTGTTTTGACAAATATCAAAAACAATCTGCTTGCAATTTAAAAAAGTACGCATGTGATGACTTTCTGAAAGGATTATGTTCAACACCTTTTTTATTCATTGGCTTAATCAAATAAATACTTGCAGAAAAGAAAGACAGAAGGAATGCTTCACATTAGGATGAGGTTGTTTTTTACGGTTTGCACCACCTGCGCTATGTTTTTATCCAAGCATCTATCCAGAAAATGATGGATTACACAGAGGGGTGAATTCAACTGTGGTCTGAGAGTAAATTTKGTTGTTGTGCACGCATGTGATAGTGGTTTAGAAAAATAGAGCAGATCATTAGCGAAACACTTGTTTGATCACAGTTTCCCCGAGATAATGATAGGAGCGAGCATTACTCGGTAATGGGTCCGTGGTATTTGAGCGTGTGTGAGTTCTTGTGTACGTCAGTTTCTGTGAGGGTGATATTGAGTTTTAGAGGTTGAGATAAAGCACATTTTTGGATCGTGAGGCTACTTTAAACTTTAATGCCTGCACAAGGTGCTCTTTGATTAAGAAAGTTTTAGGCTTTGAGTCATAGCTGCGGCCATAACAAAAGTGAATTTTTGATTGTGATAATGCACTCAATAAAATAAAGCTAAAATTTAAATAGATTATATATTTGTCTGAACGTTCTGTCCACTTAATGAAGCAAACATATCTTGTGTAGGCCAGGACAGTAAATTAAAACCCAGTACCTTAAAACTGAGCTAGTTATCAAGGAAAGGTGCCAGTTATTGACTAATCCTGTGCAGCAGATGAGTCTCTTTATAGAGCTGGCACACATGCCCGACCTCAGAAACACACACACATTTTCACATGAAACCACTCCAAGACTTTCATACACGCGGACAAAAACCGCACTGACATGCCCACACACATATTGAACCCTTCCATCACACGTGTCCTACACCCGCACCGTTCAAACACACACACATGCACACACATATAGCCCTCCCTTGTAATTATGCAGCCGTTTTATCCACTCTCTTTGCCCTCTCAGTCAGAGCAACTCTGCCAGCTCTGTCTTCACAGAACTGTTTTATTAGCATACCTCCATAATCACAGCTCAGCGCTTTATAGTGTGTAAAAATGGCATTGCTGCGTCGTTGTGCTGGCATATGGTTAGTATCTTGCTGACAGCACAGTCCTATTTGCTCATTGAATGTCAGCAGGAGAGTGGAGGATCCTGTTTTGTGCAGAAGAGA